GGAAAGGATAAAACAGCATCTAGGATACTCTACAAACTTGTCTTTAGGTGTTGCAAAATTTAAGAGAACAAATATTTAAAGCATCCCAGGCACACCTGACCTTAATGCCAGGAACTAGAGTGCTTGAAGAAGCTGCAGATGGATTGGCAGCCATAAATCCTTCAAATAGATAAAAACCCTCAGAGGCTCTGTGATTTCTATGATGGCTGTGCTCTTAATCTGTTGTCTTTGTGTAGTCTGCAGATGCGGATCCCTACTCCTGCGAGAAGCAGCTCACTGTGATAAAGCTGCCTTTGCTTTTATTGCCCTGCAAAAACAAGAAGGGGGACATGCTGGGAACAGGCCCCACAAATCTGGCCATAAACAGGCCATAAACAAAATCTCTGCAGCACTGTGACATGCTTGTGATGCCTATGACTCCCACGCTGGAGGTTGTTGGTTTACTGGAATAAGGGCAAGGAACACCTGGCCCACCCAGGGCAGAAAACTGCTCAAGGCCTTCCTAAACCACAAACAATAGCATGAGCAATCTGTGCCTGAGTGATCTTGGAACAGCTAAGGACATGTTCCTGCTGCAGATAACAAGCCAGAGCCTGTCCCTTTGTTTCCCATAAGAAGTGCTTTTAGCTAATGTTTTTTTTTTTTTTTTTTTTTTTTTTTTTGAGACAGTCTCGCTCTGTCACCCAAGCTGGAGTGCAGTGGCCGGATCTCAGCTCACTGCAACCTCCGCCTCCCGGGTTTACACCATTCTCCTGCCTCAGCCTCCCCAGTAGCTGGGACTACAGGCGCCCACCACCTCGCCCGGCTAGTTTTTTTGTATTTTTTAGTAGAGACGGGGTTTCACCGGGTTAGCCAGGATGGTCTCGATCTCCTGACCTCGTGATCAACCCGTCTCGGCCTCCCAAAGTGCTGGGATTATAGGCTTGAGCCACCGCGCCCGGCCAGCTAATCTATAATCTATAGAAATAATGCTTATCACTGGCTTGCTGTCAATAAATATGTGGGTCAAACTTCGTGTCCCTCAGCTCTGAAGGCTGTCAGCCCCTTGATCCCACTCTGCACTCTATTTCTGTGTCTTTTGTCTTCATTCTTTAGCGCTGCTGGGTTAGGGTCTCCATGACCGAGCTGGTCTTGGCATCATGTTCTGGAAACTATGAGAAAGGGAAGTATAGCCATTGTCAGTTTAGTAAAAACTGTTTTCACATTAGAAAAAAACACGGCTTTGAATTGTGGTTGAAGTAAAGGAATGATTTCAAGACTGCACTGTGCAGTGTAAGTTAGCATTGTAGGATAACTAGGGGAGAGGACGCTTTGCACCAGACTTGAGCACAAACATCCGAGACAAATTAGTATGGAAGACTGAAGTACGAGAAAACTCTTGATTAACAGTGTATTTAGGTGTAGTGAAACTGGAAGTCTGTGAATGTTTGTTTTTTATGTGTGACAATTTAAAAAAGAAATACAAATTGAATGTTGAGGCTGGTTCAACACCTTTCCTTGCATAACCTTCAAGTTCTAAAATGTGATCATCAAAACAGCTTTATAATTAACTTTCTTCTTTTGATACTTTGGACTTCAGGTACAGAATATTGGATTAATCATAATCCTTGGTTCCAGACACTCTCAGCATTGGTTCATACATGGCCTCTTTTAGTTTTCTAATATAAGCATCCTGACTCTAGTAACACCAAAAAAGCTGGAGCTTTGGCCATATAGTACCACTTACTAGCGCATCCCTTGCCACCTCTCATCTAAGGGCATTTTTCTGAATTTTTTCATCATCACCATCCTGCTTTTTACATAAAATCTATCTACTGGCCGGACACGGCAGCTCACACCTGTAATCCCAGCACTTTCAGAGGCCGAGGCAGGCAGATCACCTGAGGTCGGGAGTTCGAGACCAGCCTGACCAATGTGGTGAAACCCCATCTCTACTAAAAATACAAAATTAGCCGGGCGTGGTGGCAGGTGCCTGTAGTCCCAGCTACTCAGGAGGCTGAGGCAGGAGAATCACTTGAACCTAGGAGGCGGAGGTTGCAGTGAGCCAAGATTGTGCCATTGCACTCCAGCCTGGGCAACAAGAGCAAAACTCCATTTAAAAAAAAAAATCTATTACATGCAAATGTATTTTGAAGTGAGCATGTTTCATTATTTTGAGACCAGTTTTGCTTACTATACTGTACTTCTTCCTGTATTTCTAAAACTTACTATACTTGACTTTTTTGCATAATATGCTATTTTGTTGTATCACTATGGATCAGTTTTGGTTACTGTGTATTATTCCAGTGTATGAATATATCACATTATATTCATCCACTCTTTTTCAGTGGGGATTTGAAGACTTGTTTCTGGGATTTTGCTTTTGTAAACAGCACTATAGAACTTCGTGTAGTGGTCCCCCATGTATCTTTTTTCTGAGATGGAGTCTCACTCCATCGCCAAGGTTAGAGTGCAGTGGTGCGATCTCAGCTCACTGCAATCTCCGCCTCTTGGGTTCACACGACTCTCCTGCCTCAGCCTCCCCAGTAGCTAGGATTACAGGCACCCACCACAGCGCCTGGCTAATTTTTGTATTTTTAGTAGAAACAAGGTTTTACCATTTTGGCCAGGCCAGTCTCGAACTCCTGACCTCCTGATCCACCCACCTTGGCCTCCCAAAGTGCTGGGATTACAGGCTTGAGCCACCGCTCTGGGCTGTGGTCCCCCATTTATTTATGTGCAAGTTTTTCTTGGGTATGCACTTGGGAGTGCAATTTCTGGACTATTAGGTATGTAAAAATTCCACTTTAAAAGGTAATATGGTTCAAGGATTGAACCACTTTCCACTAACACCAGCAATGCAAGAGAACATGCAGAAATCTGCCAACACTATATATTGACAGATTTTTAATTTTTTGATACTTGAATGGGTATAAAATGGTATCCCATTGTAGTCTTCATTTGCAGTGGAACTTCTCCCACCTTGTAACTTGTCTGTTCACATTCTTTGAAGATACTTTAATGCATTTCAGAGAATAAAATATCCTTTTCTTTTAAAAGACAAATTCATTAATAATACATTTATAGTATGCTTTGTGCCTTGAGAATTTTTTTTTTTTTGAGATGGAGTCTTGCTCTGTCACCCAGGTTGGAGTGTAGTGGTGCAGTATTGGCTCACCACAACCTCTGCCTCCGGATTCAAGCGATTCTCCTGCCTCAGTCTCCCAAGTAGTAGAGATTACAGGCATGTGCCACTGCACTTGGCTAATTTTTTTATTTTTTAGTAGAGACAGGGTTTCACCATGTTGGCCAGGTCTTGAACTAGTGATCTGCTCACCTCGGCCTCCAAATGATGGGATTACCGTTAGCCACTGTGTCTGGCCAAGAAGTCCTAAGATCCTAAGATCTAACAGGCAGTCATCTTTTTTCTCTGAGAGTTTTCAAGTTTTGTTTCACATTGAAGTACTTAACTTTTTCCTATGGCATAACAGGATTCTTCCTTTTCCGTACAGAAAACCAATTCTTCTAGCTCTAATTATTGAACAGTCTCCTTTCCTGAATGTAATATGCCACCTCTCTCTTTCCAAAGTTCAGTCCATGCACGGGCAATCTATTCAATTCGGATATCTGTCTGTCCCCATCAGCTAGTAATATGCTATTTTAACAAGCCTTCACAGTGAGTCCTGACATTTAGCAGGACAAGTCCCTGTCTCCCTGCTCTTTTCTGAAATGTTCTAGCCTTTTGCTCTTTTTAACTTTTACTTTTAGAATCAACTAAACAAGCTCCACGAAAAAAAAACAAGTGGAATTTTGATTGGTATTACCTTGAATCTATGCCTATTGAGGGACAAATGACTTTTTTTGATACTGTCTTCCTATCCACTAACATCTATTTACTGAGTTCTTATCCCTTAATGTTTTAGAATTCTTTCCTGACGAGGCCATCAACATATATTGTCAATTTCCTAGGTAACCAAGATTCTGATATTATTGTCAAATGGTGTTTCCTGGTTTTCTAGGTAACTGGTATAAATAAATGCAACTGTCTTCTAAAAACTAATGTTGTATCTAGCTACCTAACTAAACCCTATTATTTCTAGTAATTTCATGATTTTTCTATAAAAACAATAATGTGCAAATAAGTGCTACCTCTTTTCTTAATCATTTTTCTATCTTGTCTTGCTCCACTGATTATAATCTCCAACACAATTTTGAATAGTAAGCAGTAATAGTGGGCAGTCATCTTTGTTTCTGACTTTAAAAGGAAGTTCCTCTTTTTAATTGATGCTTGCTTTTGCATTCATTTGGCTAGTTTATTTCACACAGAACTATCAGCTTAAGGAAATTCCTTTCTAGTCTTAATTTATCAAGTTTGATTTTTCTTATCACAAATGGTTGTTAAATTTTATTACTTTACCTGAATCTATTAAGATAGTTGTAACAGTTTATTCTCTTTATAATCTGTTAATGTGATCAATTTACAGATTTTGATAATTAAACCATAGTTTATTTAAACAGAACACGCCAATAATTTTAAACTCAGAAATTTATATTGTAAAATTATTGCCTTCATCTGTTTCATATGACATTTCATGTTTAAAAATGTTTGGCTACCAGACACATTTGAAAACCATGGGACAAATTACCTTTCACAGGGTCTTTCTACTCCGCAATTCTACAACTGCCCTGCAGCTTGAATTATACTCTTAAAATTTCTCTAATCCTACAAGAAAAAGCTTCTATTAGATGTTATTTCAGTATGACAGTGTAGAAAAGGGAATCAGACAAGGACTAAAAAATACATTTAAGTAACAGAGAGGAGTGCTTGCCTTTGAAGATATGCTGAGGTCTTCAATTCAGAGGAATACAAAATTACAATTTATGATCATTAGCTTAGTCACAAATAGATGTGAGACAAATAATGGCAGTTCTCTTACAAAATGAGGAAAGCAGAAAACTAAAAGACCAAGAAATAAAATTAACTACCAGAAAGAAAAAGAGAAAAAGTAATACAAGGGAGCATTCTGGTTTTCCTTTTTATTTAATCAAAGACTGGTGAATAAACATAAATACAGCACAATTACTTCAGATCATTCTTCATATTGTGTACACACAAACCCATGAACATAATCTGAAAGAAACCTGTAGACAGCAATGAAATGCAGACAGCTTTTTCTTCCCTCGCTCAAAAAAAAGTTTAAACACACAAACTTAGAATCTCATCAGCACACACTCTCTTGTGACAAATGATTCAGACATAAATAGTGGGCGCAAAGAAACTATATGCTAGCATATGAATAACCTTTGTTAATGAAAAAACAGAAGCAGCCATAATGATTAAGATACATTCAGTTACTGATAACTAGTTGTGCCCTAAAGGGCATTATCAAAAGAGAAATCGTGCTGCAGAGAAAAGCGATATATACATACACAATGAGAAAATAAACTGCAAGATTAATGCATGCATGTTTAATACTGGAAAAATCACAGCCCTCCAAAATTTCTGCACATTTGTTATAAAAGCCCTCTGCACTCAACTAAAATTAAAATGATCTTAAAAGGATAATACTTGTAAAGTTTAAGTCTTCTCAGCCACAGAAATTGCAATGGAAATAAATGTTCAGAGTCATTTTCAAAACAAAACCAAAACAAAACCAAAACAAAAATCTATTCTTCTGATGACATGCAAGACACACTGCTCTACATTCCCAATGACTAGGAAAAAAAAAACCTCAAGTCAATTTTTAGTTTGCAGATGCTCAGGGATTTTGTATTCCAGCAGGAGTTCAAATCTTTTGGATCTTTTCGCCAACAACTACTGGATTTTCTTTTCTGATTTTCTCAGCAGCATCAGCTTTGTAATTGTAAGAGCAATTGTGTACATCTGAGTAACGGTGTACACCACAGTAAACATTTCCACACCGGCATTCAAACCCTGAAAATGGAGTAATACACATACATGAGTTGAAGGATGAAATATTAAGGTCTTTGGCATACTTAATACTGAGCAGCACAATATATTTAGGGCAGCAATGTAAACTAAAGAATCATTCTAAATACACTGTCTCACAAACTACATTCTTATTCACTACCTGAGAGCTTCATTTCTTGTTCCTATCTACAAACGTAGGTTTGCCCTAGAGCAAGTCTCCTCTGAGCTGGTTTCTTCACCTGTGATATGGCAACAATTACTTCTTAACAAAAACACAGTTGCTAGGTTGAAAATGTAAAACATTTTTCAAATCCAGACACTACAATGTGAGAATAAGCCTACTGTCAGAAGGCAGTCTTGGCATTTATTTAAGAAAGATCAAATAATGCTTCTGAAAGAACTGTTAACAAAGAACACAGCTTCAATATTTGCTTTACTCTGCTAACCTCCAATGGAGATATGAACTGCACTGCAGTTGAGAAGAGCATGGGATCTAGAATCTGACGGCCTCATTGTGAATCTACTGACTAATAATGAAGGCAAATTTGCCTCTCTGAACCTGAGTTTCTGCATCTGTAATTTTGGAATAATAATAAGTAAGGATTAAATGAGGAATGAATTTAATGCTGAACATATGGTAAAACACACAATAAATGCTACTTTAAGAAAATGCCTGGAGTTAAAGCCAAAATCAAGATGTAATGGGTGCGGCCAGTCTTTATATAAAACTGGTCCTGCTCCCCCAAATTAGAATTTTATGGTATGATACAATTGTTGGAAATGGAGCACAGGAATCAATATTTTAAACACTAATATTTGATGTTAACCTCCATTGCTACATTTTTAACTTCAAAGACATATTTGTAACTTAATAATGAATTTAAAATGAAGCAAACACCACCGTATTAGACTGATGGATTGGACAAGATGAAAATTACTAAATCTCACCCTTCTAATCATGAAGTCTGAGGGTTTGTGAGATTTACAAAGGCTTTTTTTTTTTCTTTTTCTTTTTGAGACGGAGTCTCACTTTGTCGCCAGGCTGGAGTGCAGTGGCCCGATCTCGGCTCACCACAATCTCCGCCTCCTGGGTTGAAGCCATTCTCCTGCCTCAGCCTCCCGAGTAGCTGAGATTACAGGTGCACGCCACCACACCCAGCTAATTTTTGTATTTTTAGTAGAGACTGGGTTTCACCATGTTGGCCAGGATGGTCTAGGTCTCCTGACCTTGTGATCCGCCTGCCTCAGCCTCCCGAAGTACTGGGATTACAGGCGTGAGCCACTGTGTCCAGCCCTAGAAAGGCTATCTTTAATATTAAATACATATATTTTTAAATGTCTTATATGTATATATAGTATATATATATTTGCTTATATATATATTGCTTCTCTGGGGGCTATATATATACACACACACACACACACACACACACTTTTCTTTTTTTGACACAGGGTCTCACTCTATCACTCAGGCTAGTACGAAGTGGTGCAATCATAGCTCACTGCAGCCTCGACCTCCTGGGCTCAAGCAATCCTCCCATCTCAGCCTTCTGAGTAGCTGGGACTACAGGTACATGCCATAATGCTCAGCTAATTTTTAAAATTTTTTTGTAGAGACTGAGTCTATGTAGTCCAGGCTGGTCTTGAACTCCTGGCCTCAGGTGATCCTCCCACCTTGGCCTCCCAGTGCTGGGAATACAGGTGTGAGCCACTGCACTGGGCCATATTTGTATTCTTTAAATATACATGTGCTAAGGTATGGGTAAATCTGAAACATCTTTTTAAATTTTCTCTTTTAAAGATGAGGTCTCATTATGTTGCCCAGGCTGAGCCCGAATTCCTGGCCTCAAGCAATCCTCTCACCTTGGCCTCCCAAAGTGCTGGGATTATAGGAGTGAGCCACTATGCCTGATCTTGAAGTATCTTTGATATTAAACTCTAACTTCCTTTCTTTTTCATCTCCAACCCATTCCTTAACCAGAAATAATCTTCCTAAAGCAAAGCTCCGCTCAAAATCTTACCTACTCTTTTCTGTAAGTTCAATTTTTATGCAAAGTATTCAGCACAATGCCTGGCACATGGTCAACAATACATTTTAACTATCTATAGCTGCAACTACTTTCCAACTAATCACAGTACAGCTGATCCTTGAAGGATGCCAGGTTTAGGCATGCAGACCCCTCTACAAGTCAAAAATCCATGTATAATTTTATGTTTCCCCAAAACTTGAGCTATTAATAGCCTATTAACCAGAAGCTTTACTGGTAACATAAATAGTCGACTAACACATATTTTGTATTATATGTTTGTATATTATTAATATATAATGTATTCTAATAATAGAGTAAGCTAGAGAAAAGGAAATATTAAGAAAATCACAAGGAGAAAATATATTTACTATTAAGTGAAAGTTGATCATCATAAAAGACTTCATCCTTGTCTTCACATTGAACAGGTAGAAGAGGGGTTGGTCTTGCTGTCTCAGGGTTAGCAGAAGTGGAGAAGGTAAAAGGGGAGGCTGGAGACGCAGACATACTTGGTGTAACTTTATGGAAATACAATGTAATTTCTGACTTTTCTGCTTTTTTGTTTCTCTAAAAATGTTTCTACATGGTACGGACATCCTTTTTCCACCATTTGCTTTAGTTTTAGTTCTCATATCACCGAAGAGCCCATGTTGCAAAAGAAGTGAAAAGCAGTCTTGAATAATCAGACCCCTTCTGTCAGACTGTCTAGCGTCAATTTGTTTTCTGGCACTGCTTTTCCTATGTCTTCTTCCTCACTGTCTGGCAGTGGTTTGGAAGCAGCGATCTCCATCAAGTCATCTTCTGTTAATTCTTCTGGTTTGGTGTCTATTAGCTCCTGAATGTCTCCAAGATCCCTATCTTGAAATCCTTAACCCCCAACCTTTCTTGCCATATCCACAATCTCTACCATGATTTCCATACTGTGAAGTCACGCACAACATCTGGACACAGTTTTCTCCTGCAATAATTTGTTTCAGGCTTCATAGCTTTCACATCTTTTTCTAAACAACAATGGTATCTTCAATGGTATGATGCTCCCTCTGTTGGGGTTCTCTTCCATAGCACTGACAATCTTTTCCATAGAGTACCATGTGTAATGTGCCTGAAAGGTCTTTATGACCCCTGACATAGAGACTGAATTAGAGATGCTTCTCTGGTGGCAAGCGTATCACTTCGACACCTTCAGGGCTGAACTCAAGAGGTTCTGGGTGGCCAGGGGCAACTGTCCAATATCAAAACAACTTCAGGCCAGGAGCTATGGCTCATGCCTGTAATCCCAGCACTTTGGGAGGCTGAGGTGGACGGATCACCTGAGATCAGGAGTTTGGGACCAGCTTGGCCAACAGGGTGAAACCCTGTCTCTACTAAAGATACAAAGAAATTAGTTGGGCATAGTGGAGTACGCCTGTAATCCCAACTACCAGGGAGGCTGAGGCATGAGAATCGCTTGAACCCAGGAGGAGGAGGTTGCGGTGAGCAGAGATTGCGCCACTGCACTCCAGCCTGGGCGACAAGAGTGAAACTCCACCTCAAAAACAAACAAAAAAAACAAAACAAAACCCAACAACTTTGAAAGGCAGTCCCTTACTGGCAAGGTACTTTCTGATTTCAGGGACAAAACATTAATGTAACCAATTACGAGAAAGAGTTCATATTGTTTAGGTGTTCTTGTTGTATAACCAAAAGACTGGCCGCTGGTGTTTATCTTTTTCCCTTCAAGACTCGGGTTAGCAGCTTTATAGGTAAGGGCAGTCCTGATCATAAACCCAATTGCATTTGCGCAAAACAGTAGACTATCTCTTCCTGCCTTAAGTCCTAGTATTCACTTTTCTTATTTATAAATGTCTTTGTGACCTTTTTCTTCCAGAATAGGGCACTTTTGCCTGCATTAAAAACTTGTCCAGGCAGATACTCTTTCTCCAACTACTTTATATAGTTTGGGAACTTTCTTAATGTAGTTTGGGAACTTGCTGCCTCTTTTTTGGCAGAAGCTGTTTCTCCTGTTATCTTGACTTTTTTTAAGCCAAACCTTTTCCTCAAATTACCAAACCAGCCAGGTGCGGCAGTTCCAGTCTATAATCCCAGCACTTTGGGAGGCTGAGGTGGGCGAATCACCTGAGGTCAGGAGTTTGAGACCAGCCTGGCCAATGTGGTGAAACCCTGTCTCTACTAAAGAAATACAAAAATTAGCCAGGCATGGTGGCGCACAACCTGTAATCACAACTACTTGGGAGGGTGGGGCAGGAGAATTGCTTGAACCCAGGAGGCAGAGGTTGCAGTGAGCCAAGATAGTGCCACTGCACTCCAGTCTGGATGACAGAGCAAGACTCCATTTCAAAAAAAAAGAAAAAAATCAAACTACCCTTTGCTGGCATTAAAGTCTCCAGTTTTAGAATCTAAAAGTTGTCACGTAATGACTTCACTTTTTCTTGAATCATAGTATGCCTTTCTTTATAGCAGTCCTGCACCCACATAAAAGCTGCATTGTCAATACAAAATAAAAAGGTATTGCATAAAAATGTACAAGGTTTTTGTGCCTGCTGGCATAGCTGCAGAGACGGCTTCACAAATTTCCTTTTTTTTAAACAACAGTCCTTACACTGAATTCATTTATACTGAAATGGCAGACATCACTCATTTTTCTTGAAATGGCAGAATAGCAGCTGCAGACATTAATCTATGGTACATACCAAGCAATTCAACATTTTCTTGTAATGTCAGACTTTTCTCTTCTTGTTGGGAGCACTTCCAGTATCAGTACTGGCACTTTGTATGAGTCTTATGGTATTATTCAAAGTTTACAGTATGGTATTAAACACGATGAAAAATACATGAGAACCACAAAAGATTACCTTTTACTGTGGTAGGCAATTTACTACAGAGACAAACTGCTGAAACAGAGGTGATCAGTGATGATTAAAATGCATGGCATTTTAAGTGGATACTTGCAGCACCTGAACTCACTGCAATAGCAATAGGAGGTGGCTATGAAATTATTAGAGAAGTACAGTATATACTACAGTAACTTTTTGCCACTATCACTTAATACTGCTTTACATTTGTTTACATTTCTCGACTATGAATGGCTTCATGTATGATCTGCATTTGTATAAGCAAGTTTTGATAAACTTTTAATTTTTTTAACAGATTTGTGCATATTCTGTGGTAGCAAATGATAAAATACACAAGTATCTACACGTTTTACACATTCAAGACTTGTCCAACTTCTCTTAATAAAAACATGTATTTCTAGGCTATACAGTTCATCTGTGAGTTTTTCCAATTGCTGCAAATCTCCAAAAAATTTTCCAATATATTAGAAAAAACTGTAAGTGGACCCCTACAACAGTCCCATGTTGTTCAAGGGTCAACTGTATATGTTTTTAGTCTTATTGCTTTATTCCTGTTGGATTGCAGTACACGACACTCTTGTTCACATATTATGTGCTATTCAGCAACATTCCCCTATTTATGGTTCCTGCACATGCCCTATTCATTTTCTTCAAGTTATTCTTTCTGCCTGAAATGCCCCTATTTCCATCAGTTATAGGTCCTACTCACTGTTCAAGACACGCTGAAACATTCTGCCTTCATGATCCTTTCCTTGCTGGGCCTCTAAGAACCACCATTTTTAATTGTAAATTAGTTACTCTCATCCCTGAATTCCCAGAGCAATCTGACTGCACTTCATGTACTTTCTTTGCTAAATGCTTTTGAACAATTCTTTCTCCCGCCCACCACCATTTGCATCTGATAGCTATGTTACAGTAGCCAACATTATCGATTACTTACTGTGTGGCAGCACTGGGCTGGGCTAACTGCTTACATGTCTTAACTCACTGAACCCACACAACAATGTATGGTTAGCCCTATTTTATATACAGAAAGTACTTCCAGTTTACTAAGTACTTCAAAATATTCTCTCCTTGAAAGCAGGAGCCACATCTTTGACCTTTCACAGAACCTGGCACACTAACCTTACTTGTCTAATATTTCTAAATTCAACTGAAATAAACTTTTTTTTTTTTTTAAAAAAAAAGCTATTCATTTCACTTTTAGGTGTATAATCAAAGCTATTTTTATTTCCTTAAGAAAATTCAGAAGCTGAAGTATAGCCAGTATTAGCTCTCAAGGGAACAGGAACAATCTTAATTGAAGTCAATAATAGTAAGCTATGCATTACTATAAAACAGTATCTTAATTTTAAACATTTGATTTAGGTCCTTACCAGTAAGTCCCACTTTCTTCCTGCACATGAAACAGCGATTCTTTTTTTGTTTTGGTTTTTCAAGAGACTTGCTTTGCTCTTCAGATGGCTGCTGTGCCGTGTCTGATACTGAAGCTGACAAAAATAGGAAGGTGGCAAAATTTAATTATTCTGTAAGATTTTGCTATTCCTCATCCCACCCTCCCTAGTCTATTATTCAGAGGATACTGAGGAATTAATTAGCACAGAAAACTAGTCATTTAATTACAAAGTTGTTTACAAAAATAGGACCCCTTTTTGTTAAATTTATGTATAGAAAATGCATAAATAATGCATTTCTATCTAGAAAATAATCTAGAACATGTAATGATATATTGACAGTGGTTTTCTAGACTTTCTTCTTTAGGTTTTAACTGTATTTTCTAATTTTTCTAGTAACTAAATATTTAATCAATAAAAGGCACATAAACAAATACTACTTGAATATTCTAAGGGAGTGTGCAAGAAAACAGCCATATGCATGGGTCAGAATGACATAGGTTTCTCAGAGAACAAGGAGGGAAAAGGTGAAACCAAGATTCTGTGGAATATTAAGTATGTTTAAAGTTCCCAGAATGTTTCACATAAAGCACTTTAAATGTTAGAAATAAGGCAAATTGAAGCAAAGAAGCTTTAAAATGTTATAAGATAATAAGTTGATGCATTTATGTATGGAAACCAAAGCCAGATTTACCAAGATTCGGGTTAAATTACTACTCTGAAATCTTGACATGACTCCCTCCCGTTGCTAACCACTCTGGCCCTCATAAATGCTGCTGCGAGTCAGAATCATGTAATATGACCTTGCAGACATGTCATTTTGCTCTAAAATGGTGGAATTTGCCATGGATCAAATTCTTAACCTCTTCAGTTTCATCACCAGCCAGACTTTCCCCAGGAATCCACTCTCCATTAATCTACACTGGGAATATGCCATGTACCTTTGCTCACACTTCTTAAAATCTATTCCAAAGGATTTCCTTTTTTTCCCCCATTTGATCTAGGTCCTCTTCTTTTTCAAGATCAAGGTCAAATACCCTTTCCTTGTCTCAATTCTCTGTAGCTTCTCACTCTGATTTTCCTTAACACCTTTTCCAAACACCGGGTACCTCACGAGTTCCCTCTTCAATCCACGCTTCACACATTGCACCCAATCATCTGCCTTAAGTGAAAATCTAATGGTGTTCCCTCTGATGTTTAGAATTCTTCAATGGCTCCCAACTAACTCCCAGGATAAAGCCCAGAGGTCTTTCATGATTTTCTTCATCCTTCTTTCTCTAGCCTCATCTCTCACTATTTCTCAACGGTACCCCCATGATTCAGCCATATGGAAGTACTTGCAGTTTCCCTGGACATATCAAATTCTCTTTTGCCTCTGGGCTCTTGGGTAAGTTATGCTTTCCATACAAAATACTCTTTCTATGCCCCTTCTGTCCCTCTTTTTACCAGGCTAACTCTAACTTGTTTTTCTTGTTTAAGCTTATATAATCAGCTCTTCCTCCACTGCCTCTCCCACAACTTTGGGGTAGGAAACCCTACTACATATAGCACTTTTCATATTAAAATTCCCTCACTGGCTCAACCTGGTTTAACTTTGAATTCTTTGAGGGGAGACATCTGTCCTATTTATCCCATTATCAGTGCCTATCCCAGTGTTTCCAACCACATAGCAGGCACTCAACAATAAGTATCTGTTGAACTGAATTACTTACCTATATGTGCCTCATTTCCCCAACTACACTGTAAGGCCGTTGAGAAGAAGGATGGTTACCTTATTCCCCATCTGAATCTCCAGTCCCATCACAGTGAACTACACATAATACATGCTCAGACATTTACTGTGATTCTAACCTGCTTATGTTAACATCATTATCTCATATTTTAACAAAAGATGACAAAAGGCAAATACCACAAACAAGTAAATGTGCACTAATGACAAACTCTATAGCATGTTACTCCACTCAGACATGCTGAAATCAGACAGGAGACAGTTCTAGTAATACCCTGTGAACATATTATTTTTGAAACAGAACACAGACACATCAAACCTTTTATTTTCAATGAATAAATATTCCTAGAATGTAAGCTCCACGAGGGCAGGGGCTGAATGTCTTGTTTAATGTTTATCCCCAGCTCCTACAACAGTATCAGATAAGCCTATCTGGCTATACATACAGACTAAAAAACAGCTTAATTTGCAATCAGAAATGAAACTATTGTATTTATTGGTTTTGAAATCTATAAGCCATAATATCTAACCTGTTCTCCAAAAACAGTCTGATAATTCAAAAAGACCCATTTAATGGCAGTAACACTATCACAAGATTATAGTTTTAACAAAACTGGTTTAACTACTGAGACACAAATTTGAATGGGATCTGGAAATGGAGAAGTGAAAATACATCTATCTTCTACACATACAAATGCTACTGCATATCTCAAAAGACATTTCACAGTTTTAACCCTAAAGCCCCAAAGGCGGTGAATGGTTTCTTTTTAACTGAGGCAAATGCACAGTCTTTAAAGTGAAGGATCGGAAGGCTATCTAAAAGCTTATATGCTACAACTAAAATGTGGGGCCGATAAATGTTGATTATATACCCATGAGGCTAAGATAACCTCAGCTTACCTGAAACTAATAGCTGATAACCTGAATTTCAACAGTCACCAAATGAATTCACGGACAAGATGATACAGTATTATTTTTAAAAGTCTATGATTCCCAGAAATTATCCAGTTTCCTCAGTTTTTATGTGAGTTTTAAGACCAAAGAATACCTTATCAAATTCCAAACAACCTTTCTAGCTTTAGTTTCAACATATAACTGCCTGAACTGACCACTTCAGCAACGGGTTTTTTCACTCTTTCTCAAATTTCATTTTTCCTACCTATATGCATTTGCACTCACAAGTTATCCTCCAGCAAAGCTGTGTTGGGGTGGTGGGGAGATATAATTTACACACCATAAAAGTCACCCTTTAAAGTATACAATTCAGTGGTTTTTATTATATTCACAAGGTTATAAAACCATCACCACTATTTGGGAGGCCAAGATGGGCGGATCACGAGGTCAAGAGATCCTGGCTAACACAGTGAAACCCCGTCTCTACTAAAAAAAAAATACAAAAAACTAGCCGGGAGAGGTGGCGGGCGCCTGTAGTCCCAGCTACTCGGGAGGCTGAGGCAGGAGAATGGCGTAAACCCAAGAGGCGGAGCTTGCAGTGAGCTGAGATCTGGCCACTGCGCTCCAGCCTGGGCTGCAACAGAGCGAGACTCTCTGCCTCAAAAACAAAAACAAAAACAAAAACACCATCACCACTATCTAGTTTCAGAACATTTAAGTCACATTAAAGGAAAACTCTACTCATTAGCAATTACTCCCCACTTCCCACAGTTTCTGGCAACCACTAATCTTTCTGTATGACTAGCCTATTTTAGACATTCTATATAAATAAAGTCATACAACATGTAGCCTTTTGTACCTAGCTTCTTTTATTCAGCATATTTTCAAGGATCATTCATGCTGTGGCATGTATCAGAATATCCTTCCTCTTTGTGGCTGAATATTCTACTGTACGAATATACCACATTTTTTTTTATCCAATCATCTATTTACAGCCACCTGAGTAGTTTCTATTTATTATGGATAATGCTGCAACGAACATTTGTGTACAAGTTTTTGTGTGGACATATGTTTTCAATTCTCCTAGGAATCAAGAGCAAAATGCTGGGTCATATAACAATTCTTTTTAATTTTTTGTGGAGCTAGCAGATTGTTTTCCAGTGTATCTGGCACCATTTGATACTCCCACCAAGGCAGGAGGGCTCCAATTTTTCTACATCCTTGACAATACTTAGTCATTGATTAGAGTCATCTGAGTGAGTATGAAGTGGTGCCTCATGACTTCCATTTCCCTAATATCTAATGATGTTGAGCATTTTTGGTTTTTTTTGTTTTGTTTTGTTTTTTGAGACGGAGTCTTGCTGTGCTGCACAGGCTGGAGTCTTGCTCTGTTGCACAGGCTGGAATGCAGTGGCACAATCTCAGATCACTGCAACCTCCACCTCCCAGGTTCAAGCAATTCTCCTCTGCCTCAGCCTCACAAGTATCTGGGACTACAGGCGCATGCCATCACGTCCAGCTAATTTTCCTATTTTTAGTAGAGATGGGGTTTTACCATGTTGGCCAGGCTGGTCTCCAACTCCTGACTACAGGTGATCCACGTGCCTCGGCCTCCCAAGGTGCTGGGATTACAGATGTGAGCCACTGCACCCGGCCCTGTTGAGCATCTTTCAATGTGTTTATTGGAAACTTGTATATATTTTCTGGAGAAATGTCTATTCAAATCCTTTGCTTATTTTTAAAATGGGTTTTCTATTGTTGAATTGTAATTATTTCTTTATGTATTCTTATCACATATATGATTTGCAAGTATTTTTCTCTCATTCTGTAGGCTGGTTTTCCACTCTTATTTTTTGAGAGAGGGTCTCATTCTGTCACCCAGGCTGAAGTGCAGTGGTGCGTTAACGGTTCACTGAGGCCTCAACATCCCAGGCTCAAGTGATCCTCCCACTTCAGCCTCCCTCCCCAGTAGCTGGGACTACAAGTGTGCACCACCATACTCGGCTATTTTTTGTACAGACGGGGTTTTGCCATGTTGCCCAGGCTGGTCTCAAACTCTTGAGCTCAAGTGATCTGCCCACCTTGGCCTCCCAACGTGCTGGGATTACAGGCATAAACCACAGCGCCTAGTTGTTTTTCCAGTCTTTTAAGCGAAAATCTTTATTTTGATGTAGCTCAATTTATCTATCTTTTCTTTGGTTGCTTGTGGTTAAGGTGCCGTATCTAAGAAACCACTGCCTAAACCAAGATCACAAAAATTTATACCTGTTTTAAGAGTTTTATAGTTATCTTATATTTGTTTTAGGTCGTTCATGTATTTCGGGTGAATTTTTGTATATGGTATGAGGTAGGAGTCCAATTCATTCTTTCGAATGTGAATATGAGGTTGTTCCTGAATCATTTGTTTAAAAGATTATTCTTTTCCCATCAAATGATTTTGGCACCACTGCTGGAAGTCAATTGCCCATAAATATAATAAGAGTTTATTTCTGGACTCTCAGTTCTATTCCACTTACCTTTATGACTATCCTTATGCTGGTACAACACAGTCTTGATTACTGCAGCTTGTATTCAATTTAGAAGCCAGGAATTGTCAGTCCTCCAACTTTGTTCTTTTTCAAGATAGCTTTGGCTATTCTCACTCATTCTTTAGAATCAGAAGAACTGCCTGATTTTTTAAACCCATACAGCCTTCCTAAATCAGTCCAAAGAGACTGTTCCCCCTCTGATTTCTCGAACCAATGATTTGACAATTCAACTTTGTATAAAGTCAGAAACCCTCAGAGTAGGAAAGAGCCTGAGAATTCTAGTTCATCCTGCCACTTAGCACAGAATTCCCCTCTATACGTTCGTTCTCTAACATCAACTCGTTTTTCCTAGAATGCTTCAGTGATGTAGACCTTACCATCTTAACATATGATATCATTCTAGTGTTGGAAAGCTTCAAAATTCTCTTACTCTAGGCCTCCTACAACTCTCAAATCACTCGGGCAATATAAAGAATACCTTCTGCAGCTTACAAAGCTCATCCAAACTCCATTATCTCAGTATCTTTTAATACCCGGTAAGAGGGACATACTTATCATTCTCTTTTAAGAGTAATGAAAGTAGGCCGGGCGCGGTGGCTCAAGCCTGTAATCCCAGCACTTTGGGAGGCCGAGACGGGCGGATCACGAGGTCAGGAGATCGAGACCATCCTGGCTAACCGGTGAAACCCCGTCTCTACTAAAAAAAATACAAAAAACTAGCCGGGTGAGGTGGCGGGCGCCTGTAGTCCCAGCTACTCGGGAGGCTGAGGCAGGAGAATGGTGTGAACCCGGGAGGCGGAGCTTGCAGTGAGCCGAGATCGCGCCACTGCACTCCAGCCTGGGCGACAGAGCGAGACTCCGTCTCAAAAAAAAAAAAAAAAAAAAAGAGTAATGAAAGTAAGGCTCAGTGAAGTTAAGCAGGCATATCAAGATAGGAAAATAGAACTTATGAATCCAAATTCAGTATTTTTCTACTATGACTCAAGATCTGAGGGACTAAGAGGTTGACCAAATTTATGCATATTCTTCAATTTTAGAGTGTAACAAAATGCTTCAATTAGTTCTTTCTTTTTAACCTAAAAGTCATCTTTTTTTTACAGTATTAACTTGTAAGTACCTTTAAAAACCTAAGTACCTTTAAAAAGTACCTAAGTACTTTTTAACCTAAAAATCATTCAAATCATGTATGAAAAATGGGGCCTATACAATTTCTCCTAATATGGCATCAGGACCACCTTTTGAAGTGATATACTCAGGGCTAAGTGGAAAAAACGGTATTGTTTTACATACACCACAAATGGAAATAAAAACACTTTTATACACAAATGGTATAAAACACTTCATATGTATTATGATAGTTTGCCAGTCTCTGACCTTTATTCTTTGTCAGACTTCTGTAAGTACTATTGTATTCTTTTTTTTTTTTTTTTTTGAGACGGAGTCTCGCTGTGTCTCCCAGGCTGGAGTGCAGTGGCGCGATCTCGGCTCACTGCAAGCTCCGCCTCCCGGGTTCACGCCATTCTCCCGCCTCAGCCTCCCAAGTAGCTGGGACTACAGGCGCCCGCCACCACGCCCAGCTAGTTTTTTGTATTTTTAGTAGAGACGGGGTTTCACCATGTTAGCCGGGATAGTCTCGATCTCCTGACCTCGTGATCCACCCGCCTCGGCCTCCCAAAGTGCTGGGATTACAGGCTTGAGCCACCGCGCCCGGCCCAGTACTATTGTATTCTTAAGCTTTATACATTTTTTTCACTGCCAACATTTTAAAATTTGTTCTATCATAAGACATAAAGAACATCTTCATGATTAGCATCCTGTTTTCTTCCTTCCTATCTCTGTCAAAACTGCTCAAAACTGCCATGTAATCTTTGCTTCTTGAAATTATCCTTTGGCAACTATGACCCAAAACTAACCAGGATCTAGATGGTTTCTTCCTCGGCTCCTTTGCTGGCTCATCCTCCTGCTTACTCCCTTGTGTTTAAACTATTTTTCAACCTATGACAAGGGCTTCTAAATTTCAGGCATAATACCGACTACTACACACACTTAAATACCTACTCTCTATACAATCTCCAAATGAGCTTTTTCAACTTTGAAATCTGATCATTTGAAACACACTATACCTAAAACTTTGTCTAACCAAATCACCTTATTCAGCTTCCCTGTCTAAAAAGCAACCACACCACTGCCACTATGATAAAACTGAAAGCTTTGACAATACTCTTGTCTCATTTCCTATGTCTGGTAAATAACTAAATCTTGAGATTTCTTATTCATTTATTTACTAAGAGCCTTACTCTGTTGCCCAGGCTGGAGGGCGGTGGCATGATCCTGGATCACTGTAACCTCCGCCTCCCAGTTCAAGCAATTCTCGTGCCTCAGCCTCCCGAAAAGCTGGGACTACAGGTGTGTGCCACCACGTGCAGCTAATTTTTTGTATTTTTTGTAGAGATGGGGTTTTCCCTTATTGCCCAAGCTGAGCTTGAACTCCTGAGCTCAGGCAATCCGCCCACCTCAGCCTCCCAAATTGCTAGGATTACAGGCATGAGCTACCATGACCAGTCTTTTCCTTATTTCTTTAAAAATATTCCGCATTTCTGCCCTTCCTTAAATGTTTCGATGTAACTAACAAATAAAAATTATTCACTTAAAACATTTATGAATTTATCACAATATGCTAGATGGAATAGAATATGTTGACCACACAGTATATTCTTTCATTACAGCAAAATCTACACAAACAAGCAAATTGGGTCAAGTATTTGCTGGGTATGGAAAAAAAAGCAAGAGGAATTACCTAGCTTATTTAAATTTATTTAATTCTTGAGACCGGGGGTGGGGGATGTGCTCTGGCGCCTACCCAGGCTGGAGTGCAGTGGCACGATCATGGCTCACTGCAGCCTGGAGTTCCTGGGCTCAAGCAATCCTCCCACCTCAGCTTCCTGAGTAGTTGTGACTATAGGTATGTGTCACCTCACCTGGCTAATTTTTTGTTGTCCAGGCTAGTCTCAAACTCCCAGACTCAAGCAATCCTCCTGCCTCAGTCTCTCAAGTAGATAGGATTATAGGCACAAGCCACTGTGCTTGGCCTAAATTAAAAATTTAGCAAACTTAAACTAGGATTGGCAGATGTATCTGTTACCATCATGTGAACACCACGTGCAATGAAGTTTCACTGGTAAATCATCCCGTAGGCAGAATGACACACTGCTCTTCATTAGGCTTATCTTTCCAGACATCTTTCCTTATTACCACGTTACTTCCACACACTGCTAGAATACAAACTAATTAAGCAGAGATTTAATAGCCTCCTAAATGGCCTACTCCGCATTCTCTCTCCCTACTACAAAAGCCTTCATACAAATTTTCAAGTCTTCCTAGATCATTTTGAGCTACATAATGGGGATACGAAGAGCATGGGCAAGAACATGATAGATACCATGCTGTGAATACAAGCAACGGAATGTGACTACCGCATACATGGGGAAGAAGGGGCAGAACTGCCAGGCAAGATGGACACAGTCTCTCAGATAATGAGTCAAAACACAAAAGAAAGATATTCCCCTCAAACCAGCAGCCCCAGTTTTCTTAGAGAGTAGTATTTAGACTGAACCGGCCAAAATAGTAAAAGAGAACAGTGTAACACTGCCATTCATTTAATGATATTTTCACAATAAACAAATTTTGAATTTGCAACGTTTATGCTGATGATAAAATTACATGTAAGTGTGAAATGGCTCCCCAACATGTTAAATACTTAAAAATATAAAGTACTGTGTTCATAGGGAAAGCAGAAAAATATGTATTTTAAGCTGGCAATTTCTTAATACATGCACCTAGGATAGCGTCTGGCCTATAACACTCAAATAACAAAATACATGCTAGCTCATATACAAACCCTGCAGATCTTCTGTTTCAGGTACTGCTTTGTCCACAGATGTACTGTCCAACTGAGAAGATGCTACAGATTCTGATAAAAGTGACTGATTTGATACAGAGCTAGAAAAGCAAAATATTTCATTTTAAAAGGTGATCTCTACACATGAATATTAACTAATGTGACACAGTAACAGTTCAACATATCTAAGCAGATGATTAAGATGAGAACACAGAGAGACTTTTTTTAACAACTTAAACATAATCATAGAGCTTTAAAACTAGAGACCAATTTGAACCAGAATTTTACTGCCTTTGTGTATTTCAAGTACCACATGAATCCACTAAATGAAAACTAGCATGATAAAGACATGCTTAAAGAACCCTAAGACAAAGCTGTAAATGATATTCCGGGATAGTAAAACTGAACATCTCCTATCATGAATTGGAAAAAAGGAACCATAGTGTAGGAACTTAATATAGTGGTTCCAAACAGCAGAATAAAAATGAAACCAGTATTGCTGTATGCAGGCTTCCAAATGATGTGACTTCAGAGTTAAAAAATATATATACACAGTATAATATAAACAAATATGAGTACTACACCATGATATTAAACAAAGATAATGTGTGACAAGACTGTATTTTTTAAATACAAGGTAGTAATACTTGCAGAATAAGACTAACATTTCACTTAACATGCTTCCAAAGGACTTCAGGAGTAGGTCAGGATATATTATGAGAAAGAAGACAGAAAAAGATGCCTGAAAAAGAAATCTAAGACTTAAACGATAACCCCCGATACCCCCAAGGTAAAAGCAAGAAATCACTTTTTCTAACTAGTTATAATCAGACAGATAACATTTTAGGCCAGTTAATCTAAAAGTAGCTTTATGTAGTTTTCCTCATTAGAATTACTCAAACACAGAATATACTCTTTAGTTTTTATTGGCATTCCCATTATAATTCAGACACTACATCTTACCTTGGCTGCATAGATGAAGATGTAGAGTCTAATGTTGACTGGGCTTCTGGGACACTGCCATCTGTGCATTGAACTGGTAAAGATTCAGACAGACTACTGACAGAGGTTGCTGTAACAGTACCACATTTCATATTAGTAATTCTATATGCTAAGCAGTCTAAGACCTTATCTAAAAAAATCAAAATCCATTTTCCACAGAACACAGTATAGAGATTTTCTTTTAATATGTAGTATGTTGGTTCATTATTTTTACTTAAAATTTTTTCAATGGTTTGCCAGTGAAAAATATATTAATTTTAAACCAGAAGGAAACCATATACAAGTTGTATACATTAATAAACTCCTATGTCTTAGGACTGAATAGCATCCAAGCCCAAATTCTTTAATTCAAAAACATCTTCCAAGTACTACAGTACAAATGAGATATTTAAATAAGATGACATAGCAGTGAAGAATATAGGTTCAGAATTAAAATCTATGCTCAGTACATTAGGTTACACATGTAGATGATGACTTAATTTTGAAACAGTTTATACTCATTTGATCTTGGCCTTGAGAAAATTTGGAGCTTTGGTTAAATGGTTGTAGGTTTTGGCTTGAACAGAAACAGACAAGATCTCATATACAATATTAAATGAACTAATAGCCTACACTTTCATTAACCACAAAAATCTATACATGCAGGCATTAACCTACATGAAAACTATACTAAATGAATAAACACTTCCTATTTTGCAAAGCTTACACTCAGAATTCTCATGATCCTTCTTATACAACTACTTAAACAAAAGACCAAGAATATCCTTTGACACAAAAAGGCATAAAAAACCCTAACGAACTGGGGTTGAACATCCCTTACTACGAGTTAATCCACAATACTCCTCCTTCCTAATGGAGTAAAGCTTCCTCTAAAGTCCACTGAGCTGTGGTTATCAATAATCCACTCTTTCAACAACTACTTGAGCTGTAAAAGTCACACCAGGTAAAAGAACGGGGTTCTTTTATCACTCTCTTACCTTACTTTCCAAGACACTTGAGGTGTCCCCTCTATTTTCATAATGTAATAGAATTCCGCAGCCACAGCAAGTAAGATTATGGTATGAATTTACAGGATTTTCAATGAGTGATGATACTCATTCCTAACTCCTCACTACTAATTATAATCAGAATGTGTAATGAGAAATTTTATTGATATGAATATGGTAATATAAATACAATTTGAGAGCAGAAAAAGGTATTGGGTATACTGAACTATCCACTTGTATTTCAATTACGAATACAGATGGGTTTTACTAGAATTACTTACCAGGTGGGCTTATTCTACCATTACTACTATTCTGTCTTTGAAGATGTTCTTTATAGCATACTGAACACATGCCATTTGTACGAGGGTTTCCATAAAATCCGCAGCCAGTGGAACAAAGCATAGGCACTTGGCTGTGATTAGTTTCTTGAGCCATGTTCCTCCGTTGCACACCTGAAATTTACATAAAATTAGCAAGGAACACAGACATATAACTTCCAATCACACATTATCCAAATCTGCTTTATAAGATAAAGAAAACAACCCCACATATACCAAACTACTCGATATAACTGTCCCAAGACATAGGGCTAAAGGAGAGGAAAATATAAAAACCAAAAGGACACATACTGAACTTTTAATCTCCAACCCACTCTACATAAGCAAGTCTGTACAGGCTCAGAAAGTACAAAGAACTCCTGGAGAAAGAAATCTGTTTTGAAGACTCTACCCCCAGAAGGTTATGGATAACTCATTAAGTCTAGCTCAGTTTGGACCCTCCTAGTAATAAGAGATATACATTATAAGTTTTGATGTATGTTATACTATTTAATTTCTAAGCATTTAAATTTTGCTGGAAGTTCACGTGCTAATGTGTGTTATTTATTCTGTTTTAAAAGCATTTCACATAGTATCATGTCTGGTGAAGATATGGAGAACTGGGCTGAATGCTTGTAAAAAATGATAACAAATTGGTTCAATCTTTTTGGAAAGCAAGTTGGCAATTCACTTCAAGAACCCTATAAAAGACAAATATTGCTATCTGAACCAGTCATTCCCCTTTAAGGGTCTTCAACAAAATGACTAGAGTATAATCAGAAAAAGAATAATAAAATATAAGGGATGTGCTTCACAGTGTATTTATAAACTGATAATAACATTAGAATGTATACAGTTTTTTTTTAAAGCATGATATATATTAATGACAAAAGTTATGCTGTCATTAAAAATATTTTAGAATACTTTTTGATGGAGGGAAATACTGATAATAAATGAAAAGGCACAATATGAAATGTGTATACAATATTTTGCCAATTAGGAAAAAAGAAGCATCCATTAATCATCAAAAAGGACAGTAACGAACACATCCCAGGATGGTGAAGCTAGTGTTTTCCCTGATTCGTACCTTTACTTATAAAATTCTCTAAAATGAAGATATTCTTGCCTAATTGGTGGAAATTTTTATTTTTTAAGTATTTCAAACTAAAAAATATTAAAAACTAAGAGGACAGAGGCATTAGTCAGACAGGCAAGTGATGCTGGGACCGAGGGAACTGTTTGGGAATCACATGAAAGCAATAATCAATTACAGCAGATGGAAGAACCCCAAGTGCCATTTCTCCCATGAAGCAATTGGTTCTTTGGCATGAATAACATGACAGACGGTACTAACAGGCTCTCTTTCTTATTAAAAAACAGCAGTCTCCTAAGTGAAGGTTACTCTGAAATGGGTGTATATGTATTACAGATGAGTTTATTTTCAAAGATCATGAAGAATGAGACTAACCAAAGAAGGAAAATGTTTTGCCACTGAAATTTCCTTGAACTGGGAAATACCCAAGGAAAGCATTCACGGTTTACTGTTACCAACTAGGTTGCTCTTCCCCTACATTATCTGAAGACCGTTGATGGGTAGTGAGGATTTATACATATTTCAGAACCAAAAGCAATAAGGCACTTGACTGAACTACAAAAAAAGAGAGCAGGCTTAGCATTTCCCTTAAAAAAAAAAAAAAAAAAGTCCTAAAACTGTTGAGGATAGTTAAACCTTTAGCCTATGAATACAATTTGGGATTCTGGCAAGCATCTTTCTTATTCCATGATGACGAGTCATTTCAGAATCTCATCTTTGCCACCTTTCTTTTTTATAAACGCTACTTTAGAACCCTCTTTCTTCTACAGCCCTGTAAAATATATATACACATATATATACACACACACACACATATCAAATTAAAAAATAACAATGATAGCATAGAAATGCTAATGTCAAACATTTTTGGGTTTTTTCCCTTTTTTGCCTATTTTGTGACGAATACTGGTCTGCAGCTTTCTCTTTTATGTTTATCTGATTTTGGTATCAGAGTAATTGCTCAAGGTCATGTAGCTAATAAGTGATGGAGGCTAGGCGTGGTGGTTCACACTTGTAAGCCCAGCACTTTGGGAGGCCGAGGTGGGTGGATCACGAGGTCAGGAGATTGAGACTATCCTGGCTAACACAGTGAAACTCCGTCTCTGCTAAAACTACAAAAAAATTAGCCAGGTGTGGTGGCGTGTGCCTGTAGTCCCAGCTGCTCGGGAGGCTGAGGCAGGAGAATCACTTGAACCTGGGAGGCGGAGGTTGCAGTGAGCAGGGGTCATAACACTGCAACCCAGCCTGGGCAACAGAGCAAGACTCCGTCCCTAAATAAATAAATAAATAAATAAATAAATAAATAAGTGATGGAGCTGGGATTATACACACACACATAAACACACACACACACAAAACACCTGGATTGAATCCCAGCTCCATCACTTATTAAGTCATCAGTGATTCTCAAAATATGGTTCACATACCCCTATAGAGGTCAAAATTGTTTTCATAATACTAGTGAGTTATTTGCCTTTTTCACCATATGGACATGAGCACAAATGCTGCTATAGCAATTGTGGGGGGAAAAAAAAAACACCTGAAGCCTTATCAAGGAGACAAATCAAAGCAGTGGCACCCAACTGTACTAGTAGTCAATTCTTCATCACCATGCTCTCACAGTAAAAATTATTAATTTTACTAAATCTTGACCCTGAATACACATCTTATTAACATTTTACGTGACAAACTGGGAAGCATGCATGAAGCACTCCTGTTGTGTAAAGAAGTATGAAGACTGAAGAAAAAGCACTGTGCAATTGTTTGAGTTGTGAGCTGACTGAATTGCCTTTTTCATGGAACAGGTTTTTTATTTGAAAGAATGACTAATAAACTGGTTATTAAGACTTGAGTATTCAGCAGACATTTTTGAAAATGAACAAAGTGCACTCATCACTTCAAACATCTAATAGTATTTCTCATTAAAGACAACAGTCAAGTGAAAAAAACCTTGACAAGCATCTCCAATATTCTGAGAGTTTCTGATAAGATTCCTGGTGATATTAATGAAATGTGATTAGTTGATACGGTATCAATATTTGAAATATCATCATAAGACAGTGAATCAGTATTTTCTAAGCAACCAATGTTGGTTGCTTAGCAAGAAATAACTCATGAACAGAAGATCCATTCAAAGTGAACGGCCATGAATTTTAATGTAACAGGACAAAAAGTTTTATATCGGGGTGTCCAATCGTTTGGCTTCTCTGGGCCACAGTGGAAGAAGAATTGTCTTAGGCCACACATAAAGTACACTAATACTAACGAAAGTGGATGAGCTAAAATAGATAAATAAATAAATTAAATAAATAAATAAATAACGTTTTATGAAAGTTTATGAATTTGTGTTGGGGCCACAAATTGAACAAGCTTGTTTTGCATGGTTTCAATTTCGCACTGCAGCTATCCTTTAAGAAACTATCAATCGTCAAGTTTTGGTGTAATATTAAAGAAATCTGAAAATGTTATTAAAATATTCTTTCCAAATACATGAGCCCAGATTTTCTTTGTAACACTTAACAGATTGAATGCCAAAGCAATTACTAGAATCTTGCTATTAAGGCAGACTTTTTAAAAAAATCTGCAAAAATGTGTTAACAATGCCACTCTTCTCATTAACAAGTGTGGGGGAGAGGAAAGTGGTTATTTTTCATAAAATATTTAAAAATAAACTAGTACTTACAATATTTTCTCAGCTTTAATTTTTTTTTTTTTTTTTTTTTTGAGACGGAGTCTCGCTCTGTTGCCCAGGCTGGAGTGCAGTGGCCGGATCTCAGCTCACTGCAAGCTCCGCCTTCCGGGTTTACGCCATTCTCCTGCCTCAGCCTCCCGAGTAGCTGGGACTACAGGCGCCCACCACCTCGCCCGGCTAGTTTTTTGTATTTTTTAGTAGAGAGGGGGTTTCACCGTGTTAGCCAGGATGGTCTCGATCTCCTGACCTCGTGATCCACCCATCTCGGCCTCCCAAAGTGCTGGGATTACAGGCTTGAGCTACCGCGCCCGGCCCTCAGCTTTAATTTTTAATATGATTTATTTAACTAGATATAACTCTTATACACAAAAGCTCTTCAGGATATTAACACCAAAATTTTGAGAACCCACTGCTTATAAAACGTGCACTCTCAGTATAGACAGTTTGCCCCTCAAGGGGGAAAACACTGATTTTTGGAGGAAAGGGTCACAAAAACCCTTACTCTAGTATAAAACACAGATATACATAAAATATATAAACAGATGTGTAATATCTCTCTGGAGTTAAAATCTCTGGAGGTAGGGGCCACTTAGAAAAAAAAAAAAAAAAACCCTAAAAAGGTTCCTTAGGGAAAAAAGAGAGAAAAAAGACTGAGGAACTCAGGTTTAAACCACCAACTATGCTACACCGCCTATTAACAATATTAAAGTACAAGAGAGGAATTAAAGAAACTTTCCCAATGATAATGATAAATACATGGCTAGCAACAAAACTGTAGAAGAGATAAATACCGTATTTCCATAAAAACTCAAGTAAAAAGTCACAGATGAAAGTACAATATGACCACTAAGCTTTTCATTACAATTACTTCAAAACATTAAGATTAAAGTTTGAAAACATGTAACACTACCAATTTTCCCAAGTCAAACTGCCTGCATGGCATCAAATTAACAATGATACTCATAACTCAAGAGGCACAAAGGGATTCTCATAGAATTCTTAAAAAAAAATAAGAATCAACCTTATTCATTAATCGGTTAGGCCGTAAAATGCACCTTTACATGAAGAGTCAGAAAGACTGAAAAAGACGAAAAACCATAAAAGGGTAATTTAGTTTATCTGAATGTGTAACGGCATAGATGGGGTAGCTATGAAAAAATTGGAAGTCCTGCCTCCCTCCCTTTGCTACTAAACCTTTTTGGGGCAATCGGTCTGGCATTCAAATGGTCAGAGAGGAAAAGGGATAAGGGGAGAAAAGGCAGAACAATTCCTTAACTGCTGCATTGTGGAATTATAAAACCACAAATCCAGAGGCAGGGAGTAAGATCACTCTACCAGATATTTAAAAAA